CATGCCCACTAGCTGCCTGCTGTACCGGGGCGGCTGTCCCTCCCCCTCCTCCTGCCACCATGCACGAGGAACGTCTCCCTGTGGTGACGAATCCAGCTGAATCCAGGCGCAGGCTGCGATGCAGTCAGTCACCAAGGGAGATTGTACCACGTGCATCCCCGCAGCCACGGAGAACGGGGATCAGGGCTTCCCTGCTAGACCCCCCTCAGCTCCTCATGCTTGGCCATGCTCTCCAGAGGCTCTAGCAGTGCCTGCCTGGGATGGTGAGCAGCCCTGGGACATGACCCTGTGCAGATCCACTTGCAAAGGGGTGCCCAGCTGCCCCCAAGGAGGGGGGCATGGTGCTCCCTGTCAGGGAGGCAGGCACGGAACCCTTGGGTGCAGCAGAGGAGAGGGGAGCTGCAGCCAACAGAGCCCAGAGCAGGGCTGATGCTGTGGATGTCTCCCAACTGATTTGTGAGCCTGTGGCCCCAGGGCCATGCCCTAGAGGTGACAGCCTGCTCTGGGAGCAGCCCAGTCATGCCCTGGCCTGGCTCTGCCTTCCTACCGCTGATCATTAACCACCCTTTTGGGTGGTGAGTTCAAGGACCCACTCAGGGACCATTGTCCCCAGGTTAATCAGAGCTGGGGACATGCTGGAAGTGCAGAACATGGACCTGCTGACGGCTGCTGCAATGGTCCTGCATCTCAGCCCAGACCTGTGCTTGGCAGTTTTCCTTGTCCCTGCTGTCCTCTCTTGGTCTTCCTTCCCCAAAAGACCCACCAGGCTCCCTGTGCATCTCTGGGATGGGTGAGGGACATGCCAGTCTGTGCTGGGAGTCTGTGCCTGGTGTGCTTAGTGCTGGCAGAGGTAATGAGCCTGGAGACACCAGCCCAGGCCATCTGCAGAGCACTTCAAGGATGGTGCCAGCTTGGAGAGTCAGGAGCAGGTGCTTGGGCTCAGCTGATGCTGGGGGGTCCATGGGATGGGTGCAGAGGGTGCTAGGCACGTGCAGAGCAGCATTGGAGCAGGGAGGGTCTGCCCCAGCCCCTGTCCCATTCACCCTGCCATGGTTTGTGCATTGCAGGTGATGTCCCGACGTCTTTATGGCCCTATCTGGAAGTCGACCTTCGGGCATTATAGGAACATCAACATTGGGAGCCCAGTAGTGCTGGAGCAGCTGCTACGGCAGGAGGGCAAGTACCCCATGCGGAGTGACATGGCCCTGTGGAAGGAGCACCGGGACACCCGGAGCCTGCCCTACGGACCCTTCACTGAGTGAGTCGGGTCCTGGCTGTCCTCTGTGGAACAGCACACATCTTCTGTCCCTTCCTAAGGTGCCTAGGTGGCAGCTTGCGTTGCTCCCTCTCCTGCAAGCTGCATGTCCCCACCAAGGAGAAGGGCATGGCCACGGCCATGGTGGGTGGAAAGACCCCTGGGGTGGTTCCAGGCTGGAGTTGGGAGTGTTGGGATACTGCTGCCAGCCACTGCCCCCTGCCCATCCGTGTGCCCAGTGCTGAGCCTTGCCCCCATCCAGGGAAGGGGAGCGCTGGTACCGCCTGCGCCAGGTCCTCAACAAGCGGCTGCTGAAGCCCTCGGAGGCAGTGCTGTACGCGGATGCCATCGGGGAGGTGGTGTCAGACCTGATGGTGCGGCTGCGGGAGGAGCGGAGCCGCAGCCCCTCAGGGGTGCTGGTGGGGGACGTGGCTAACCTGCTCTACCGCTTTGCCCTCGAAGGTAGGGGGTTCTTCCCCCTCACCCCTGCCCTACCCCATTCTTCCCATCCCCCCGGAGGTCTGGATGCTGTCTGTCCCCTACAGGGATCTCCTATATCCTCTTCGAGACCCGCATTGGGTGCCTGAAGCAGCAGGTCCCTGCCGAGACCCAGCGCTTCATTGACTCCATCAACCTCATGTTCAAGAACTCCATCTTCGCCACCGTCCTGCCCCGATGGAGCCGCAAGGTGCTGCCTTTCTGGGACCGCTACTTGAACAGCTGGGACACCATCTTCGCCTTCGGTGAGCAGTGATGATGGAGACCCAGCGTGGTGGGATTGGACTCCCTGAGGACACTCAAAAGTGGAGCAGTCCCTGGCCCCATGTCCTTTTGGCAGTCCTCACTCTGTCAGCACTGGGTCCCACTCTCTGTTCCTGCAGGCAAGACCCTGATTGACCGAAAGATGAAGGAGCTGGAGGGGCAGGTAGAGCGCGGCAAGGAGGTGTCCGGCTACCTGAGCTACCTGCTGGCCAGCGGCAGACTCAGCCTGGATGAGGTCTATGGCAGCGTGGCTGAGCTGCTGCTGGCTGGTGTGGACACGGTGAGAGCTGCTGCCAGGAGATCCCTGCTGAGCTCCCATGCCCAGGGGAACCCATAGGGCCATGCTCAGCCCAGCCCCTGCAAGCTCTGGCTTGGTGGCTAGGAGGCTGATGCTCCCCAGGGGCAAACTCTCAGGGATCGGTCAGGACAGACACTGTCCTCTGCTCTGCTCCCTGACATGCTCCCCATCCCACTTTCCTCTGTGCCTGCTGCCCCTCACCCCTGACTTTCCTGCACACCAGAGCAGGGGTTCTCTGGTGCCATACTGGACCTGTGCTTGGTACAAGGCTGCTCAGGTACCAGCCCCAGTTCTCTCACTCCCCTTGATTCTCCATTCCCCCAGACCTCCAACACGTTGTCCTGGGCCTTGTACCACCTCTCCCGGGACCCAGGCATCCAGGAGACCTTGTACCAGGAGCTGAAAGCTGTTGTGCCTACCAACCGGTTTCCTGCTGCTGAGGATATCCCCAAGTTGCCAATGCTTCGGGCCATTATCAAGGAGACACTGAGGTAAAGCCCAACCTTGCCCCTGCCCCAAGGTCCTGGTCATCAGCCCCTTCTCCAGGGGAAAATGCACCAATGAGGCAGTATGGGAGGCTAGATTTCAGTCCCTCAGGACCACATATATCCACCTCCTCCCTAGGGAGCTGCTGAGAAGTAGGGGATGCTCCCCTTTGTCCTGCTTGCAGCTCTCTCCCTCTGGGGTCTCCAGATGGATCCTGCTCCACCATTAACTCTTCCCATATCCCAGGGTCTACCCCGTGGTGCCCACCAACGCCAGGGTCTTCTATGAGAAGGACATTGTCATCGGAGACTACCTCTTCCCCAAGAATGTGAGTGGGGGTTGTGGCATGGGGACCTCCACTACCCTCAGTGGGGCTGGGTCGGGTCATTAACCCCCGCTTACTGCCCTGCAGACCCTCTTTGTCCTGGCACACTATGCGATGTCCCACGATGAGACCTACTTCCCTGAGCCTGAGCGGTTCCTGCCCCAGCGCTGGCTCCGGGGATATGGCTCCCCCCACCACCCCTTCAGCTCCATCCCCTTTGGCTACGGGGTTCGCGCCTGCGTCGGACGCCGCATTGCCGAGCTGGAGATGCACCTGGCCCTCGCCAGGGTGAGTAAGGACCCCCACTCTGGGTATCTTGCCATGAGCTGGGCTGGGGGCTCCAGGGAGTCCCCAAGGCACTGCCACCCCCCTTCTTCCCACAGATCATCCAGGCATTCGAGGTACGGCCAGACCCCCGTGGTGTGGAGGTGACATCTGTGTCCCGCATTGTCCTCGTGGCTGACAAGCCCATCAACCTGGAGTTCATTGCTCGTCCAGAAGCCCCCTGACTGCGCGTCCACCCCTGACCCTGGGTGCCAAATGGAGAACCCCCACTGCCCCACAGGGAGGGGCAGGCAGGAAGGCAAAACCATCCTCTGCCCTGCTTGGGTCAGGGGCTCCTAGCCCCACTGTGGGGAAGAGGAGGAGGATAAGAGATTGCCCTCAAATTGCCCCTGGGGCACTAGTAGCCCCCTATCCCAAATCAGCGGGAGGCTTGGGGAACTGCTGTGCCTTTCACACACTTCAGGGGGTTGTGTCCCCCCCGTCCCATGCCCAGCTGGGCTACACTGGGGACCTGGGAGCTCTGTCAGGGCAGGGGGAAGCAGGGAGGGGTTTTGCAGCCGTTCGGTGTCTCCTTCATCCTGTCCTTGTGTAGCTGCGCGTGGATCTGTGCCTGGAGCCAGGACACCTGGGTCTTTTCTGAACAGCTGACCTTGGCCTCAGAAGCTTCTCTGTTCCTCAGTTTGACCCATGCCTCCCAGGGGAGGGTTGAGTGTGTGCCGGGTTTGGGGTTTGCGCCTCTCCCAAGGGGCGGAGCTGGGAAAGTGAAGCAATAACACAGCTCATCCCCAGCGATGGGAAGAGGCCTGTCACCACCCACCACTGGTGTCATGTCCCCTGGCAGAGCCAGCCAACACAGGAGGGGTGTTTAGCACCCAGGACCTTCCACTATCAGCTCCTGTTCACTGAGATGCTGATATGGGGTCACAGGAATGGCAGGGCTTGCTCCAGGCAAAGCAGGCAGAGAAAGATCAGCTCAGCACCCCCCATCCCCAAATGGGGACATGGGGCTGATATCCAGGGCAATCACAGGGGCTCAGACCTGATAGCGGCCACAGGCGAGGGGTGCATTGCCTCTTACCCAGGGTCCTGGGGCATGGGACACCCTAACAGTGAACCACTCTCACCTTCCTACTTCTTGGACTGAGGGAAGCAGCAGGCAAAAACCTTGCTGACACCAAGGCTGCTGTGCCCCCTGAAGGGCCCTCATACTACCACTGTAATCAAGGCTGCATGTTCTGTTTCCCTGTCACCTTGGCTCTACCCCCCTGTGCCCATACCACCCTTGCCGGCATTCCAGGCTGGGTTCCCCAGCCCTGCCAAGCAGCCAGTACCCCCTTCCAAGTCCTGCTCTCTCCAGAGGAGCTATGCCCAGCTTTATCCTAGAAAGGCAAGAGGCAGTTCTTAGATAAGACTCTTTGTTACAACGAGGCTGAACAGAACAATAAATAAATAAATATCCCCTGCCCACCCCAAAACGTGCACAGGGTCACCATGCAAGTGCCCATCCTGGTGCCAGCTCTGGCACAGGCTGTGCCTCTGCCAGGGAGCTCAAGCCCCATGTGACCCTACAATAAGCAAGCCTGTGTGTGCAGCTCAGCCTGTGCTACCAGGCACTGGGTACAGATGGTGGGACTGTGTCCACCAGGAGGGAGCAACAGTGGAAATGCTCAAATCCAGCAGCAGGATGGGAGTGGGGTAACCAGGTCTTCTGGGGCTGTGTGGGTCTCTGTGCCCAGCCACAGGCATGTAATGGCTCCTCCAGCACAGTGCCCATCAAGCATCACTGTGTGCTCACTGGCAGGAGGCACCCTTGGGCCCCCTTTTCCACACTTTCTGCCTCCCCAAGGCTGGCAGGATCTGGCCCTGGACTCAAGACGAGCCCCAGGACTGGGGTGAACAGGCAGATCCTCCCTGCGGAGAGCCTTCAGGCCAAAACCTCCTTCTCACAGGCCATGCAAGAGACCCCCAAGTCAGACAAGACAGTGGCACTTCCTGGTGTCTTCAGAGTGAGGACCGATGGATGCCTGCAGGGCAAGAGAGCATGCGAGGCCATAACCCCAAAACAGTGCTGGACTGGGCACCCTGTGGCATTGCCCTCCCAACCCATCCTGGTGGACACTGGGGTCTCGCCTCCATTCCTGGCTTGAATGCAATCTCTGGGACAGGAGGGAGGGCAGCTGGCCTGGAGAGGGCCCCCTGCAGCTCCTGATCCAGCCATCCCTGTGGTCACCAGGGATGGGGTAAGTGAAAGTACCTTGATTGGGAAATGAGGGAGGAGGGTTGTGTGTGTGACTAACACACACCGCTCCCAGTCCCTGTCCAGAGCAGCTGGGCACTGCTGGGGGAACTGGTGGACACAGGCCTGTCCCAAGCCCATTCTCCACCACTACCCCAAAAAAAGCATCATTACCTTTGGAAAGCAGCTGGGACTCAGGGCCAGCTCTCCCCTCCCCATTTCAGCCCTAAAGAGCTGCCACAGTGGGTGCAAGCACAGTGCCCGCCTATCACCAGTGAGGACTTGCCAGGCAGTGGGTGAGCAGAGCCAGCTGCAGGCAGTTGGGCAGCATGGTCCCAGTGCCACCTGAGAGTGAACCCTGTCCCTGGAGCAGGCAGTTTTGGGGCTGCTGCAGGTGGAGGGGTTGGGGGCCTCAGCCAGCCAGGGCCCATGGGTCAGCTGTGGTGCGCACACAGCTAGCCAATAGCAGCACGTCATGAGGGTGCAAGTGGAGATCTGTCCCTTCTGTGTCCCCCAGGAATGGCACTGGAGGTGCTCAGATCGCAGGATTTGAGGCGAGATTAAAAATAGATTTTTATCTTGGGGTGCATCACACCCCAAAACCCTCATCCAGCCCAAAGCCCAGAGACCTGTAAAACCTGCCTTCCACACACTGCTTGAATGGGGGTTTAGGGGGGCTGTCTTCATGGCAAATGTCCTCATCCTTCCTCACGGACACCAGGGATCCCCTGTGATTCTTGTGTACCCCAGGACAAGCAGCATCTGGGTCCTGCTGTCCCCACCTGTGCACCCAGCACTTCCAGACCCCAGCCCCAGCCTCCTTCATCCCCCAGGGCCGGTCTGGCTGGGGTGGAGGCAGGTGGTCTGAGCAGGGAGGTGGCCAGGTGCAGATGACCCCAAGTCAGGGAGGGAACAGGCCCACAGTGACAGGGGACAGCGCCTACCTGAAGTGGAGAGAAATGGAGAGTGCAAGTGGAGAAAGATGGAGCGCCGTGGGCTAAGAGTTAAGAGCATCGATACCTGCAGGAGTGAGCACAAGGGCCTGGAGGACGTCAGAGAGGGAGACAATGCCCCGCGGGTACCGGTTCTCATCTACCAGAACCAGGCGATGGACCTGTGGGTGCAGGCAGAGCATCACGGGCAGGCTGGGCAGATGGCAGGTGTGGCTGGTGCCGGCACAAGGCACCCCAGCCACTCACCTGCTCCTTGGCAAAGCGGTCAATGATGTCCTCCATGTGCTCATGGGGGTAGCAGGTGATGACCCCCTCCAGGCAGATACTGCGCTGCCGCAGTGCCTCTCGCACACTGATGTCCAGGTTGTTGTAGGTCTTCTGAGCTGCCAGGTGCTGTGGGAGGTGTGACCCCAATGTGTCCTCACACCCCATTGTGCCAATGCAGAGGGGACACTGAGTGCTGGGGATGCACAGAGCGGATGTGCACTGGCGTGTGCAGGACACTGCATTTGGGGTGGGTTTACACAGGCACAGATAAATGTGAACACCCCCTACCAGTGCATGCAAGGGGTCACATTTTTGTCCAGGTTTGCAAACACACAGGGTACTCACAATGACATCAAACCGGGAGTACAAGCCAACCACTTGCCCTGCAAAGAGAAACAGTGCAGTAGCTGGGGAGGGGGCCTTGGGGATCATTTGCCATGTTCCTTGCATACCCCAAGGGGCAGCCCAAGGGCCAGGAGACGGCTTTTGGATGGGGATAGGGATGGAGCTGCTGGCAGAGGGAAATGAGGGGGTCACTTTCCTCCTCCCCAGGTACCGGCATCATTGATGACGGGCAAGGCAGAGACACGGCGATCCACGAAGATATCCAAGGCAGTGTGGATCGGGGCAGTCTCAGGCACGACAGCCAGGTCACGAAAGGTGCCAATGCGCAGCTCCTGCACTGTTTTTTTCAGGAAGCGTGGCTTGGGAATGGTAGAACCCTGCAATGGGTCAGGGCAGGGCTTGGCTGGCACCTACACACATTTTGACACCTTTGTTTGTGCCCCTAGACACCTGCCATGTGTGTGCACACAGCCCCGGCACTCACAAAGATGTGGAGAAACTTGAGGATGCGCTTGTGCGTCAGGATGTGCAGGACATTGCCCGAGACAGGCTCGATGACAGGCAGGCGGTGGATTTTATGCTTGATCAGGGAGTAGACAGCATCGAAGAGGCTGTGGGTGATGGGGACATCGTGGTGGGATAGGGCTGCAACACAGGCACACACACCCCCACCCTAAGGGGTGTACTCACCCCCAGTGGACAGGCTCTCACCTATTGCTTGGGGAGATGTAGACCAATGGCTTGAAGGAGCCCTGCAGGTACACCTCTGCCAAGGGAGAGAGGTGGAAGAGGGGGTCCTCCAGCCCTCTCATGCAGCTCCACAACCCCAGAGCTCACCTCCATGCCCTGCGCAACATCTCCAGCCCAGCCACCCCTATCACCCACGTTTTTTACCTCTCCACGTCTCAATCTTGTGCTCCTCCACTTCGTAGATTTGAACCTGAGGGCAGGGAAATGCTCTGTTCATGGAGACTCCATGGGGGACTGAGGGCACTGTGAGACACTGCCCCCTTCCCCAGGCCTCCCACCCCATCACCCTAAAAACAGGAATTACATTTTCAGTGCCAGGCAGAGGGGCAAGAAGCAGATGCTGCCCTGGCCCAGAATCATCCCCTGGTCACACTCTAGTGATAAAGAGGAGACCAAGAGAGGTGGGGACAGCCCCTCCCTGGCCCATGCATGCCCCAATCCCCCATGCCCTCCCCACCACACTCACCAGGGGTGAACGGTAGTAACGGTGTAGGATGTTGATGAAGTCGGTGATGGTGAGCATCCCTGTGGAGACACGTGGGGCTGGCAGCACTGCCTGCACCCTAACTGCCAGGCCAGGGAGGGGGCCAGGCAGCACTGCTGGCACTCACCCACAAAGCTCTGTGTCTTGCTATCCCAGAGTGGGGCAGCGCGCACCCCATTGGCCACCAGTGCCACAAAGGCTTTCTTGATCTGCTGACAGAGTGGAAAGGGATCAGGGGGTCCCGAGCCTGCTCCTCCACTGCCCATCCCCACTGATCCCCCGCTTTGCCACCTCCAGGGAGATGTCGAAGACGACAAGCTTGCAGCTGGTGGGGATGGCATCATAGCAGCAGTGGCTCCTTAAGAAGTGCATGTAGACCTCGGCGTCAGGGCTCTGAAACTCACTTTCTGGGCCCAGCCCCAGTATCTCATTTCCCAGTGTGAAGGTGACAGATCTCCTTTGCCTGTATTCTTCCTCCTCCTCTTCCTCCTCCCTGGGGCATAGGGCCTCCGGGAACTCTGCAAGAAAAGCCATCCCAGCCCCAGCCAGTGAGCTGAGATGCTGGGTCTCAGCAACTTCCTGCCTGGGGGGAGCAGGAGATGCTCCCAGAAGAGTCTCCCTGTTCCCTACTCCACAGGGGCAACGCAACAGCACTGCAGTTCTTCAGCCTGGGGTGCACTTCAGCCGAGGAGTGGGGTTGATGAGGGGTATGGGCAGAGGACTGATGCACTCATCACAGAGTAAGGCAGTTCCCCCCTCCTACACACCTAGGCTCTACCTGCTACCCACCTTCCTCCTCAGGGCAGGAAGCAGTATCCAGCAGCGCCACCTGAGAGGGCACACAGCAAGGAGGGGTCAGCAGGAGTCCAACCTTTCCCCCACCCATGGATGCTGCTTGCAGCCACCTGGCTACTCCAGCCCACCCAAGCTGGACAGAGAGGACTGTCCTTTCAGGGTGGGGATGTGGGCAGGACCTAGCCCCCAGTCCCCCCTGGGCAGCCCCCTGCCAGTGCAGGATCCCCAGAGCCTGCAGTCTGCATGGTGGCTCCAGCCCAGGGCACCCAGCTTGTTTCCCTGCTCTGGGGGGTCAGTGGGGGTTCCCAGAGAAGGGCAGGACAGGGCATGAATGGCAGGACCTCCCGCCTTCTCTCTCTGCTGTTGGAGCCCAGCAGGTCCCACAGTGGCTCTGAGCCCATCCTCTCCCAGCCCCAAGGTGTAAATCCCGGTCTTGCTTCTTCCCGTGCCGGGAGCCTCGCCATCCCCACTGGCTTCCCCCAGGGACCAAGTCGTCCCAGGAGACCTACAATAATGAGGGGGCAGCCCCAGAAGGGAGGTCACAGGGCCGGATGGCTGACCCCGTGCTCCCCAGTCCCCAGGAGACTCTACCATAACACAGCAGCACGTGCAGAGGGAAGATCAACCCCGGCCACAAACGTACCTGACAGAGCTAATGTTTACAGGCCACCCTAAAATAACGAAGGCACAGGAACAGGGACTGCTCCCTAAGGAGCCCAGAGCCAGCCCCGGGAAGGAGACCCTGCATACACGTCCCCCAACCCTTCCCAAGGGGCTGGGGACAGCTGGGACAAGGGCGTCCTTGTCCCCATGGCTCCATGTCTGTGGGAAGGGGACCGCCAGCCCCCCATACTCCCCCACCTCGGGGATGGCCTGTCCCCGAGCGAGGGGCTATCGAGCCGGGCCCCCCACCCGGCCCGGCGGTACCTGGGACACAGCGGGGCCGCGGAGCCGCTCCATGCTGACTATCTGCGGGGCAGCGCTGCTATTCTGGGCCCGCGGCTGGCGTGGCCCCGGCAGATAGGGTGTCAGCGAGCAATGCCAGCCGTGCCCCCGCCACCGCCGCGGGGGGGGACACCACCGACACGGCCACGCAGTGCCCGCAGCCCAGGGCTGGAGGGGGGGGGCGCGGCTCCGAGGAGAGCGTTGTCCCTGGGGATCCGAGGGAAGGGGTGATGGAGGGGTGGCTGGGGGCAGAGAGCGGGAGGACATCCCGCTCCGTGGACCCCCGTTCTCCAGGAGCGGTGCTCAGCGCCCTGCCCGCCGGGTGGTGCCCCCGCCCCATCGCGGGTGGGGAACACAGCATGTTCCACTCCCCGGAGGTGTTGAAGAAGGGCTGGGTCCGGTCACGGGCTGAGAGGCGGCCAGAGCGGCTGCGGACCCCTCGCCCTCGACGCTGGCCAGCCCTGCCCGCCCCTGCCCAGGGTCCTGCTGCGGCTCACTGTGCACAGCTACCCCGGTCCCACGGCGGGGGCAGCCCGACCTGTTGGGGAACTTCCTTGCCGCCTGCCCGCCCTCCACCCTCTCTCGGCTCCATTTCTATTTCAGGGAGGTTCAAATAACACCTTGGCCAGCTGTCGGGCCGGCCCGGCGCAGCCGTGGGCGAGCGGGCCGGTGGCTGCCGGGTCAATGGGACAGGGCTCTGCCTGGCTCCAGGGGACAGCTGGAGACACTGGCCCTTGGCAGGGTGGAAGGAATCCCCTGGTGCTGCCTTACGGCAGGCGGGAAGAGGAGGGACGAGGCCGAGAGCTCGGTACTGGGGTGACAGGAGGACACAGCCGGGTGGCCCGTGCCCCGCAGCGGTGCAGAGAGTGATGGGGGCGGGCCGCTACAGCTGTGCGTGCAGAGTAGCCTGGCTCCAGCCTGGCCATCGCGGGTGCTGGCAGCAGGGAAGGGAGCAGGCATCTCCACTTTCGGAGGCTATTTTCAGGTGCTGGAGAGAAGCCGAGGAGAGATGAGATTGTCACCAAGGAGACCGGAGAAACAGGGCCCAGTGCCGGGAAACGGGGGGCTGCAAGGAGAGGGGAAGGAAGGGCTTTCTGTAAGCCCCAGGGCCCACACAAGAAGCTCAGCATCTCCTCTGGTCCCCAACAACCTGCCCAAGTGGCCAGCATCCAGCTAGCAGGCTGGGGCAATGTAACTCTGTACAGGCACCCAACCTTTCCTCCTCCTACTGTAAGGCTGGACTGCTCTGTTCCCCTTGGTTACAGGTCCACAGAAGAGTCCCTAGGACATAAGGCAGTTATGTTGGGAGCTGCTCTTCCACACAGGGGGGCACACACACCTGCCCCCCAGGGCAGCAAGAATTACCCGTGCTCAGAGAAGGACAGGGAAAAAGGGGGGTGGTAGCACAAAGCCACCCTGTCCAGAGCCCAGTGAAGTCCCGTGGGAAGAGCTGAGCTGCATCCCAGACACAAAGAGATCAGGGAAAGAGAGATAGATGAGAACAAGGAGAGCAGCTGAGTGTTAAACTTTAATAAAAATCCTTGAGAAACAAATGGAAAATAGAGAGCAGAGTCCAAGAGAAGAGCATCAGCCTGCAGTCCACACACATATGCTGTAGGGCACACCAGAGAGCTGATGGGCTCGGCTGAAGGATGTTCCATCTCCAGCAGCCCTACTGTCCCCATAAACTGCAGCCATGCTGCTCCACATGGTGTCTCTTGAGCAGCAGTGTGCAAGCCTGAGATATCCCCCAGGGCCCGATGCTGGGGTTAGGGCAGGATGTTGGCACAGGCATTCAGAAAAGGTCCCAAACCCTGCTCCTTCCAGAGGAGTGGGGTACTGATAGGGGACTTTTCTCCAGGGCCCAGGTGCAGCAGGGCAAGAGCACACTTGGCTGCCAGCAGCTCAGGATGCAGAGACACAGGCAACCAAGGGCTCAGCCTATGCTGGTTGGGGACAAGAAGGGCAGGCTCAGCCAGCTCCCATGCAGAAGATAAACCACCATGTCAGGATTTAAAAGCAGCCTAGGACAAAGGCCTGACAAACCCCACTTCCTCAGGCTTTGCCATTTGTTTTGAAAGCTGAAGTCACACAGCTCTCCTCTTTGCCCAGTAAAACATCCCTCTCCAAAAACAGCCCTGCAAGCAAGTGTGCAGTGCAAGGGGCTCCCACAGTCCTTGCTCTACAGAGCCAGCTCCCATCTCTTCCTTTGAGGTAGGTTGATGTGTCCCCAGTGGCTGCCTGGTCACATCACCAGGGCAGTGTCCGAGAGGCAGCCAGAAGGTCTCTGGTTGGCTCCACCAGTGCACTTGTTGAGAGGTAAGCTCTGAGTAGGGCTGGGCTCCAGGCATCTTGTGAGGTCCTCACCAGCTGAAGGGAGGTGCGTACTGCAGGAGAAAAGAGATCCTATGCTGTTTAGGGACAGTGCGAAAGGACCAAAAGGGCCATGGTGCAACATTCATCTGCAGTATCATGACACACGAAACTCAGAGATAGGGCTGCCAGGCTCACCTACTCCATCTCCCATCCCAGGCAGCATCACTCACCCCAACAGATATCTAAAACATTGATGGGACTTTAGAACCACAACTTGATCTCCCTGTCTGAATGTAAACCCAAGTCCATCCTGGTCTGGGCACAGGAACATGGATGTCCTTTCCCGTAGCACCAGAGACAAGCGGTGTGCCTCCTCTCCACTTCGGCTCAGCCAGACCCTATCCTTCACCTCTCCGCAGGAAGCTCTCAGGGCCAGTAGCCCAGCTTTGCTCAGGGAAGCTGGCAGAGTGAGGCAGACCTGGAGGCCTCACTTCTCCCCCAGTCTATGCTGCAGCTGAGAGCCTCTGCTCACTGCTAACCACATCAGTGCTCACAGAAGTGGCACAGTTCCCTATCAGGGGAACATCTTGTCAGCGTGTCCTGACCATGACAGCCCTGAACATTACTCAATCTGGCTGTTCTGGGCTTCACTCCCATCTGAGTTGGGCACACAGCACCAAGGAGACATGTTCAGTTACACAGACATCATGCCAGACCCACCAGTTGGCTCTCCAGAGAGCTGAAGCTGGCTTCAGAGCTGCAAACCAACCTGCTCCTCTCCCCTTAAACAAAGCTACTTTCCCTGCTGCCAGTTCTCTCCAAGGACACTAGTCCTAAAGCCACACTGTGAAGACCATGCTTTCATGGTCAGTGCAAACTCACCCCAGTCTGCCCAGTTCCAGTTTGCCGAAGCCATTAGATTGAATGCTACTCTTCTGGAGGAAGAAAGACTTTGGCAACGACCACTACAGGAGGAGAGAAAGACAACAGAATGGTTATTTAAGTCATGGCAAAAATCCCTCAAGCCTGCTGTGCTCTGCCATAGGCTGCCCTAGAGAGCTTCAGCTAGAGCTGCCTCTGCTGCACATCGTCACTGCCACCAGACTGTTCCAAGAATAGCAAACAGAGCAGTCTTTGCTCTCTGCCTAATGAATCCCTCTGCTGAAAGTGGGAGTAAAGCATCTCGAGGTCAAGAGTGGGTTTCTTTCAGTGCACCAGTCCACTGTAAGGCACAAGACTGACAGACGGAGATGACTCCCTCGCAAAGAGACTAAAGGGCAGGCCAGGTGCCAAATATGTAGGGCTGTACCCAGTGCACCCAAGGATATTCAGATGCAAAATACTTGTAGATCTGATATACTGTTCATGACTTCATGTTAGTGGGAATGGGAAATAGGGCAGCATGGGTTTTTCCAGACTCCCACAGGCCTTGGCAAAGAGGGAAGAAGGAGGTAAACAGGTAAGGCAGGAACCAGAGGAAGCAGAACAAGCAGGCTCCCTACCCAACTCTGGCAGGCAAACAAGCCTCTCTGACTAGCTTACCCACAGTCATACGCACCATCTGGGCAAAATCTGTCCCTGTTCCAGTGTGGTACCCTTTGACACACCAGTTCTTCAGTAGCTCCAGACCTGGGAAGCGACAGAAGACAAGAAGCAAGAATGAACAAGAAGTCAGGTTTGCAAAGAGTTAAGCCTTCCCAGCTTGGACCATGTAAATATGCTGCTCTGACTACGCAGAACATGCTATGCAATCACTACTTGAACACGTGCCTGACCGCCAGCAAACATGGGGTAAATCAAGGGCGTTCACCCTTTGTACG